TGGATTATGCTCGCACACCATTTGCATGACAGCCCAGCATCGGAACGACTGACCGACGACACATAATCGCGCCGACACTCATGGCACATGGCATCATGGGACATTCGGGGCAAATTACAAGCGCAACTTATGGTCAAACAACTGTGATTGGAATTATCACTAGGCAATTGTATATGAATATTTGCACATTTGTATGTATGTATGTATTGCACATATGCATACAAGTGTTGTTTATTTGTAAGTAAATAGATATGCACTTGCGCCGGCGCATACCGCAAACGACAATAAGCCAACATGAAATTCATGAGCAAAAGCAATCTCCACAAATACACAAACTTTTAGTAGCTTAATTCGTGTACATACATATGTATGTACATCTCAATATTTACTTACGCTAAATGGCATTGTTATTGTCTAGCCAATAATTTAACTACGAGTATTGTGCCACATGTGGCAAACAGCAGCTGGCTTAGCAACAGATTATTGTACATGTTTGCCAATTGAGCGCAACCAACACACACGCACATACACACTCATTCGTTCATTCATTTATTCGCTCATACACTCACAGGCTGGCCCAACTTAAATAGTTGGCTACTTGCTTGCTACATTGCCGTGGCGCGGTTTTGCCGTCGGCAAATTTACGCACCTAAAAATGCCTTCTTTTTGAGTCCCACCCAAGAAACTGAACACATTTTTCGATCTCTTTGTTTATTTGCTTGTAGCCCTTAAAAGGGCTTTGTTTTTGTTGTTGTTGTTTTCTGCTGATGCTGCTGCTGCTGCTGCTGCTGCTCCATCCCCTCTTGCTTCTTAGCTTTTGCCGCTTGCGATTGTCATGAAACGCTTTCACTTCTAGAGGTTGCTTTCACTCGCGCGGTTGTCTCATTTAAAGCGTGCTTCCGCTATCCATGGTTTGTTGTCCAACTGCAGCAGAGCTGGTCACTTTATAAGCCAATAGGGACCAGAACGTAGCCGGCATTCAAATCTTTTTAAAGCTTTATTTAGATTCGATGTGGGCATGAAGAGGTTGAGATCGCCCTTCATTTCCATAGACAATCCTGTTGAGTTTTTTTTTTACAGCGTTCTTGGAAGTTAGCGGCAGTCTTTCTGCAGGCTTTCACATGCGCACAGAATAAAAAGCCCTCTCTGAGCATCACTGACGTACAGTATTCTAGTACGAGCTTTCACAGCTTTCATAAAATTTCAGATAAGTTAAAACGCCGGGTTTTGCATTGTCAGCTGGTACCTTCACGACAAAAGAAAAAAACTCAGCGGGAGAATGTGTTTTAAGCTTTCTGTAGATTTTGTATGGACGAGCAGAGAGTACAAGTTTTTTCTGTTCTGCGCTGTTTCGCAGGGCTCAAGATAAAAGCTTTTTAATGCTTTATTTAGATTTTGTATGTATGGACGCGCACAAAGCTGAACCTCTGGCTGTATCCATATCCATTGATTCACAGCGGCCATCGTTGGTTGGCAGGGATTTCACTCGGCAAAAGTGGTTGGCTATATCGGTAATAGCGGCATACCTACTCAGTTCTTTTGGCATCCACCTCTCTCTAAACCATAGCTTCCGCCAGTCAGCAGTCGCGACCAAGGATATCTCGCAAAGGAGCTCTTTGAAGCTTTCTAGGGATTTCATACATGCATCGCCCTTTTATATAGCTTTCTAGTGCGCGTTCTCGAAGAGTTCATCTTAAATCACTGATGGGCACTTCTTTGCCCGCGGGTAAAGCTCTTTTAAACTATCTATACATTTTCCATAGGCGCGTGCAGAGTAAAAGCTCTCTCTGCGCATCGCTGTCTTAAATGCTGACATAGAGCGTCAAGGATTGGTGATTATTTTTTTTTTTTTGTAATATCGGGAGTATTTAACGCTCATACACAAACTACGATATACAGTCGGCTGATTTTTTTTTCTCCTGTAGATCTCGCAACTGTTAACACCTGTAAGTAGAAGAAAAGAATAAACAGTTTTATTAAAAATATATGTTATGTATTTACATACAAAATGTATTTTAAGGAATCATTTTTAGAACGACTAAACAGAGTACCCCACAGAATAAAATTATCCGGCGAATAATGCTTATACATATCGATATATGTACATATGTATGAATATACAGATTATAATTAAGGGCCACTGAAGCCGCTTATGAGTTCAAAATTCAAATGTTTGAAAGTGTTTTCTTTCTAGGTATTTTCTATAAATATTTAGGATGTCCAAGACCACCCGTCCACCCCTTCTAAAATGGAGGAATATATTCATTTTATTTCAAACCGCAAGAATATGAACTAAATATCAAGTCGGGCATGCTCCATCTTTTGGTCGTATTAACGTCTACGGGTTTCCATGGGTTAAACTGATCAGAAGTCCATTTTTTAAATACAAATATATTTTTGTGTTTTTCAATAAAAAACATTTTCCTCCATTTTATAACGGTTGGACAGGTCTATCAGGTCTAGGATATATACAACAGAAAGACCTTTAGAGGTTAAGTAGAAAAATTAACCAATTTTTGAATTCTTCGCTCAGATTCGTATTCAGCGACCGATCATACCGAACCTCGGTGAACAAATAGTTTTTGTTTTTTTTATACTTATAGAGACTGTATATTTACATATATCGTATTGGCTGCATTCTGCTCGATCTTCGTAATAAATATTGCAAATTGTTTTCTTGAATTTTCATTGTTGGTGTTTCTCTAATACATTCTTTCTTGAAGTCTCAAAAAAAAAAATAATAATACATTTTTTTTAGGCAAAATCGAAATAAATTTTTTAATTCAAAATTTTAATTTTTATGGGGGGATAGGATTATATATGAAATTGATTCAAAGCGCTGAGCGAGATTTCAAGTACGGATTTGAAAGAGCAATCCTCTTCAATATACGTGCAACATAATTTAAAAATGCTTGTAATATTTTAAGGTTAGATTTGAAATGCGTGAATGAAAGTAAAAAAAAAAAAAAAAAAAAAATATTCGAAATAAAATGAAGATAACACCTCTATTTGCAATCAAACCCCAAACGCCTGGACCATCATTTCAAGGCTTGTTTCTAAATGTCTCACCGGATTTAAATAATTTAAAAGAGGATTTTTCGAAATCCTGCGCTTTCCTAATAGATATTGTCGCCTGGATAAAAGATTCTCGCAAGAGCCATTTGGACAATTATAAATTATAGATGCAATTACATATTTTAAAATAAAATCTTTCGATTGGTGTTAACAGTTATGGGATTTCTCCTTTAGTTTTCGAGATAATTCTTAGAAGCGTTGACGTGATTAAGCAACACAACGGTCAGTCAGTATTGCCCGTTCTTTTTTTCCTTAATTGCTTATCTGAAATTATGCAAAACTGGTAGCGTAGGATGCTGCGTTAATGGCTTAACTCTTTTTCGTATACTCAATCAATAAAATTACTTTCGAGTCTCAAAACACTGTGGCTATGATCTTTCCGGCGGATGGAGAGAGACCTCAAATTCATTAGAAGGGAATGCACCTTTCGTATGCCACTGCATAGACACTTGCTTATTTTCAGGATCTTAGTGATATATCAAATATAATCGAGATGAGCTCCACTTTTCTCTTCGAGAATACGCCTAGGACTTTAAGGCCAAAGTAATCGCAATCCTCAAAGCCATGGACTACGTGGTGGAAAACAGATGGAGATGCAGCAGGAAACTCCAATAGTGACAGCGAAACTGCACTCAGCCCTGCTGGGCTACTGGGCTGGAAAAACCATGTCGCCTACCCTACAATTGCAGCGTTTCCAAGCAGAGGTCCCAGCCATACAGGAGGCGATTGAACACTAACAAACAACGAGAAGTAGTATGTAACAATATCTTCAGCTACTCAGAGAGTTAGGCGGCACTTAAAGCACTTGATGGCGGGCGAACTTGCTGGAGAATGAGAGAGCAAAGATGAACTCAACAAGAAGAAGAGGAAAAAGCGAACAAACGGCAGTATTGCCAAGTTTTGAATTTGAAAGAGCATTAAAACCCCCAAAAAAAAAATTGCGTTATTTCTCTAAATTCTAAAAGTTGGCAACAGTGAATTCAAACACAAGTATTTTGTGACGTCAGCGAATGCGTGGATGCTGTCAAATCGACGAAGAGAGGGTTAGCGGGGCGCGAATGGCGCCACCTTTATAATCTGCATTGTGGGCACATCCGTTCAACTTTCGCAATCCCGGAGAGGTTTAGGCATGCCGCTGGCTTGCAAGTCAGCCCAATCGCTCAGTCTCACAACTTGCAGCAATACAAAAGATTATGTGGCCAAAATGGAACGAAAAGCGGTCGAAAGCTCTCCAAATGCTAAGCAGAGGGCGCTTAGTCTCAGTCATGGACCTGCGGAGCGGCAAGGGATTCCCCGCAACGACTTCTGCAGAAGCTGCCAGAGAAACGGAGCCAGAAACCTAACGGCACCTGTTATGAGAATGTCCCGCACTTTGCAAAAAAAAAAAAAAGGCAAACGTTCTTGAGCTCAGAATTCTTCGAATGTCTAACCAAAATAGCTGCGAAAGTGTTTAGGTGGGCCGAAACTCATGTTGCCCTCAACCTCGGAAGATTGGACTGCCTAAAACTTATGTGCCATAGCTTACTGGTCACTTCTCATGGCACAGGCCCCTGACTGATTTTGTTATTTTGTTTTGCAGCAACTAAATGCAGAGCTTCCCAGAGCTCAGGGTTTGTATAGCGTCTTCTCTTCTCTTTTTTTTAGTTTTTCAAAAATATTTGTAAATAATCACTCACCTCGCGTTGTGTTGGCGAAGCTGCTTGATTATTGCATTTGCCTCGGTCATTTAGTGAATATATAGGTTCCTCATTGTTCCTCGTCATCATCGTGGTAATATTTTTTTTTTTTCACTTCTATTAAAAAATGTTTGCTGCTGCTTCCGTACTGTTGTTGTCTTCCTGCCCGTACAAGCTCTCTGTGTTGGGGAAAACCGCCAGTGGCCCTGGCGCAGACGTTGAGTATTCCCACACTTAGCCGCAAAGCCGTTCGCAGCTGTTAATTTTTGTTCGCCCACGCAGGAGCCCATTCCACGCGGTTGGACTCATTTTCGTACATTTTCCTTGCTCGCTCGCTCGTTCGCTCTCCTCAAAGCTGCTTGCTTTCCGCACTTTGAAGCATCGCATTTATTTTGACTTTCTTGGAGTCTTAGTTATCTCACCTTTGTAATCACGCTTCATCAATTTCTTTGTGAAGCAGTGCGGTCGAAAGTCACACACTCAAAAAGTTTTTTGTGTTCTTTTTTTTTATACGTATTTTTTATAGTTTTTTTTCTGATTTTTTTTTTTAATTTTATATTTTTTTCTAATCCGGCTTCCGCAACTCACAAGCCTTGTGCGGCGACGGCAGAGTGCGGCCTGTTAAATGCATTCGGCGGACACGACGCGTCCGCAGCGCGCGCGCGCGCCCCACTCGTACACAAAAAAGCCCAACACCCAGGGCGTCAGGTGGCAAACAAAAAATTTTTGAAATCTGTTTCTCTCTCGCGAGACGAAAAACAAAAAGCTGCGATTTAAGCGGTTTTCTCTTTTTTTATGCAAAATTGACGTAAAGCAGCAAGCGAATTGGAAGTGGTGAGATTTTCGGGTGAATCGATTTTATTGCTTAACGACGACGGCATTATCGGTGCCTGTGCGCGACTGCTGGGCGTGGTGGTCGTGGTGGTGTTGCTGGAACTGCCTAGCGAATCGAACATGGAGGAGAGTGCATTTAGCGAATCGCTTGGATATTTCTTCTCACCATCGTAGGACTTAATGCTGGATGCTGGCGATTTGGGTGTAGCGGAACGGTGGCTGTCGGTGGGACTGCGCGGTGTAAGCGCTTTGTGCAATACCGGGCTAACGGGACCAGCCGATTTGGGTGGTGTAACGCTACGCTCTTTGTTGTTGTTATTGTTGTTGTTGGATATAGAGAATTCAGCGCCATTGGCAACATGCTGCGACTTTTCATTGCCATCTCGACCGTTTTGTGGACTCTCATCGCCACGCTCCTCCTCCTCCACCTCAGACTTGATCTCCATTTTGATTTGTGGCGCTTGTTCCATGAGTGCATCTGCCTGCTCGGCCTTCTGCTTGAGTGCCTCCAACTCGCGCCTCATCTCAGCCGATTTCTGCTCCATGGACATCACCTCTGTTGGCTGCAACTTCTCCGGCGTGATTACATCCATTTTCCTAGCCTCGACATGCGTTTCAGCGCTGCACTCACTGCCACTGCGCTCGCTGCTCGTATAACGGTAATGCTGATAGTATGGATCCGAAGTGTCTATTAATGGCTTATTGTAGTCGACAGTTTCGTCGATGCCCAGCCGCTTCAGTATGCTTGAGGCCACGGGCGATGTATTCTTGGTCGACGAATTGGATGGGCTGGTCGCCGGCAAGCTGGCGTGACGCGGTGGCGTATCAAAACTGGTGGTGAACATCTGCTCGATGGCGCTGAGCACAGACGATGAGCCTGCTGTTGACTTAGTGGCGCCATTTTTCGGCTCCAAATCAGGTGACTTGGTTTTGTTCAATAAACTGCCAACGCCTAGCGCTGCCTTGGCCGCCTCGTCGTCCGCTTTTACGCCCGTTATGTATTGACGCATGCGTTCGGCGAACAGTGCAGCATCTGACTTGTCATTGCCCGGTCCGATGCCGGTGCCCTCGAGTGGCATGCGCTTGGCATTTTCATAGTTGCGCTGCATCTTGGCCTCCATACTTTCCGCCTCATTCTGTGCGCCCTTCATCTCGAGCAGCTTACGCACCGGCAATGACTTCTCGCGCTTCTTGGGTGCCGGGCGCTTGCGGCTGCCAGCGCCACCTGCCATGGATTGCATCAGCGGCTCAGCGTAGTGGTTATTCTTGGCCATGTGGTTGCTCAGATCGCCCAGCGAATTGAAGGCCTTGTCGCAAACTTTGCACGTTAGCACAGCGCTTAGCGTGCGACTCTCTTCGGAGCTCAAGCTGTTGTGTCCATCCTTGGCATCACCGCCGCCAGAAGACTTCATTGAGATCGTTTGTTCTTGCGATAAAATGTTGGTGTAGTGCTGCGTCTCCTGCATGTGCTTGGTCATCTCGCCGAGCGAACGGAAGCTTTCGCCGCAACGCATGCACTTCAAGATCTGCATGGCCTGCTCCACGCCTTTGCCCAGCCATACGTTCTGGCCGCGCACCAATTTGCGCGGCAGTGGTGTTGGTGGATCGCCCCGATACTGAAAGGCGTTTTTGGCCGCCGCTGATGGTCCGGAAGACGAGTTCGATTGCGAGCCGCCGCCACTATTCGGCTGTTTGCGGTGGCTGTGCGAGTGCTGCGGACCCTGCGCTTGTGGTGGCGGTGGTTGGTGGTGGCGATCGGTGTTGGGTAGGTTGCCGAATGGCGGCACATTTACGCCACAGTGTTTGCTGTCCTTCATGTGCGTGGTGAGCGCTTCCAGCGTGGAGAAACTCTGCTTGCACCACACGCAGCGGAAAACCGAGCTGGCTACGCCTTTATTCTGCCAGTGCGACTGCCAGATGTTGTGTCTGGCCTTGGACATGCCCTCCGTGGAGGCGGTCAGTGTGGTTGCCGAATTTTGTGTGCCAGCAGAAGCACCAGAATTAGGTGGTGGCCCAGCAGTTGGCGGTGCTGTTGGTGCGTTGCCCGCTGAAGAGCGCGAAGATTTCTCCTTCCGTGGTCCCTTCACGATATCCGACATTTTCTCCAATGGATCGACAACCAAGTCATTCTTGCCATTCCAATCGGGAAACTGACCGGTGCGGAATATATTTGCTGCTGCCACTGCTGCCAAGTAGGGATTTACTCCGGGCAAGAGCGGTGCGGCTTGCACCGTTGGGGGTGCTGCCAGTGGTGGGCTATCGGTTTTGAAAATTTTCTTCACCTGAATCTGTCCGATGGTGGAGTCGGGCTCACGATCGCCATCGGCTGAACGCTTACGCGTGCCAACCGATAGATCCAGTGGATTATTAGCATCGTTGGCTTCATCGTCGTCCTCCTCCTCCTCAGAGGGTGCGGGTTCGGCGGATGCAGCACGCGCAAAGAGATTCGTGCGAAAGTCTAGTGCCTCCGAATTGTTGTTCGAGGCATTGGGTGATGCTTGCGGAGGTAATTTGAATGGTGCTGGCGCATCTGTGGGCATTGGTAGCTGAAAGCGATGGCCTGGAGCGGCTGGACCCAACGGAAAGCCATACTGCTGTGCGGCGGCGGCCACCATTTGCAGATAAGCCTCCATCGAAGATGGCTGTGCGGGCAAATTCTGTGGTGCAGCTGGGAATGTAGCGGTCATCGACGGTGGAAGCGGTAGCATGCCGGCGCTCGCAGCAGCGGCTGCGGCAGCATTGGCGGCTGCGTTGGCATTTTCCCGGCTCTCGCGACCATTTTCCGACGAGTTGGAATCGTGCGACGGACAACGCTCGCTTGAGTTGGCCGACTCTGTCGAACGTGGACGCGCGGTCGGCAAGGCGCTGCAAAGAGGAGAGGAGAAAAGCGTTTTGCATTAGATAAATGGCTATAAAAATTTAACTGAATAATTTAATACATATACAAAAAATATTTATGCATAAAAACTAAAAAATTTGTTCAAGCATGGTTGCCATGTACATATAATTACTCGAAATTACCTATATAAAATTACTTTCAAGCTAAGTTTTGGGAATATTTTAATTAGTTTTCTTGAAAAATACATACTACGCTTTACAATAAGCCTTCTACAATTCAGAGGGCTGCCAATTAAGAAAAAAATCAAACTTGGTAAAATTTGTTTATATTTGTTTTAAGTCCGCTTTGTGTTTTTGGAATCTCATGACAGGAATTGGAGCTTTTATTGATAGCGTTACCAAGGTATTTTTTTTTTACGCAATATGAAAAAATACTTTTTAAGAGATTAGCAATTTTTTTAGCATGGTTGCCACAGGTTATTCCAATAGAAATATTTAACTGCAGCCTTAAAGCATTTGAGTGCTTAGACCAAAGAGTTCTTATGGAAAAATAATGCAAAAAAGCTATAAAAAAATTTAAAAAAAAAAATTATTTGTTTAAGGCAAAAAGAGTTGCCATGTGCTTAGTTTTTATAAATATAATATTTTCGTGCAAATCCTTGGAATTATGTAAACCAACAGAAAAATTTAATTTTTTAGAATATCTAAAAAAAATGTTTATAAAAATTCGAAGTTAAAATATTTTTGTACAGGGCTGCCTGAGGTTTATTCAAAGAAATATTTGACTTAGAAATCATTTTCAGTAGCAAAAAAGATAATTCACAACTTAAATTTAATGAAACTAAAATATATATTAAATATTATTATAGCAGGGTTGCCAGCATTTATTAGAATACAAATATTTTAGTAATTACGAATTTATCATGCAGGTTCTAAAATTCACTTCCGAATCAATTTCAATCCCATTCAATTTGAATTCAAGGTGGCTTTAGTTGAAATTCCCTAGAAAGAGAATTTCAGAACCTGCATGTAAAAACTTATTTTAAATCTAATAGGGTTGCCAAGTATAGGTTTAGGATTGTAAATGGAACAGGTTGCTTAGACCTTGCGAGAAAATGTTTATGAATGGAAAACTTTGGATTGTTTTAAAATATGTTATATCATTTTTAATAAATTTTTTCTAAGTTTTTTTTTATAATTTTTTCTTATAAATTTTGTATGCAAATTTAAAGTAATTTTTTCGCTTTCAAACCATTCTGAAAGAGGTTGCAAGATTCATCATATTATTTGATTTCATCTCTACAGGCCGTACGTATGCAGAAAATTACTTTTCGGTTGCTGTAAATTTTCTTCAAAAAATTAAAAATTCGAGCATTTTTTTCTTAAGTGCTGCATACTGATTTCAGACATTTTTATAGAAGAAAATTTCTTTTCCATTTCTTGTGCGTCATTTTACATGAATTTTTAGTTTTTCTGTCTGTCCTTTATAATGTGTTGAGTGTCAATTTAAATACATATTAGCGTTGCCATGTACATATGTACCGTACGGCGGCGCAATTTGTATGGGAGATATTTTCGAATATGCGGGTAGAGCACAGAAAGACGCTACGTGTAATTATTAGAAAATTTGCCGAAGAAACCATAGGTGCCAATTTGCGAAAAAGCATTCTTAGAATTTTGCTGTAGTGTTGTAAATAAGTGCTTAAATTTTGTACAAAAACATGCTATAAAGGTTGTTTTTTTTTTTTTATATGAGGAATCAATTTTTGCACTTATCTTTTTCTTAAAACTTCCGACAGAGGGCACAACAGTGAAAATTTCCACATTTCCTTCAAAACCTATTTTCGAAATTTTACATGCATATAAACAATTTTATAAATTAAATTAACTTCTGCTTATGTTTTCAATTCGCAACGACGTTTTAGGCGAAAAAATATATCACTCTTCCCAGCAGAGTTGCCATGAAAAGTTTATAGCAATATTTTTTAAAATTTTTGCAAGTAACCGCATGGTGCATTTCAAAATGCCTTTGATAAAATGATTTTTAATAATATAATTTCTAGATTTAGGTAAATAACATAACATGAAGTAAGATTTAAAATTTAATTATTTTGAATTCTTTCTTCTTAAAATTCAAAATATTAAAACAAATATTTCTCCAGGTTTTTTAATTTTTTTGATACAATTATAATTTTTTTTTATAATTTTCAAATTTGTATATTTAATTAGTTCATTAAAATTTAGGTAAAAAATTAGAATTAATTTTGTCAAACAAGTTTAAGAAAAATTTTTTATAAAAAATATTTATTTGCAGATTTTTAAAATGACCTTGGTAAAACAATTTTTTAAATAAATTTAATAAAAAAAGTAAAGCAAAATTAAAAGGAAATTGAACTACTTTTTAAAACATTTCACAGACTAGATATTTTAAAGATTATTTCTCTTGCAGGGTTACCAGTTTATAAAAGAAAATTCGTCATCGCGTTTAAAATAGGTAAGTCAAAATGAAACGATATTACTGATATATCTAGAACGTAATTAGAATATTTTCGTAAAAACAAATTTGAGATACACTTAAATACTTGTACTTATTTAACTAAAAAGTAAAATTTAAATTATATTATACATATTATATAAAATGGAAATTTAAAAATCAAAAGCTTTGTCCACCGATACTAAAATTTCACATAACTTTATACTAATCAATCTGAGTTTATTAGTAAAGTGTTTATTTAAATCTGGTGTAATCGTTTATTTCGTTGCGATAAGCGCACCGAAATCATTTAGTTGATTTCAACAACATTTTATTGAAATTTATTAACCGCCTGTCAGCATTTCGCGCTTTCACGAGCAAACAAATCAAAGAGTCACAAATCAAATGGCATACACATGTGATGCATACCTAGTCGCTAATAGTAGCTGGAGTGTTGAGACAACGGTACATGCATACATACATAGGCGAGTGATTACGCACCACCAACACACAGAAATCCGTGAAGATGATAACAAATTTGTAGGCTGGCTGGGCAGTCATGCAGCTCACTGTTAGCCATATGTATGTATGTATGTATGTATGTATGTATGTATGTATATGTAATGAATTGTCAAAGCATAAAAGCACAATCGAAATATGTATTATGTACAGATGTAGTATTTGATATCTACGCATCTAACGGTTCATAATAAAATGCTCTAAAAGCCTTTTGTTATTCGTTGCGTTGCATTGCATTCGTATACGGATGGCA